GTTTATCCTTCAGGAACAAGTCCCTGCTTCACTTTATGGGCAGGGCCAACAGCTGCAGGAACCAGAGTTCAATGACAATCACTGCAACCCAGTATGTATACAATCATGAAAAACGTCCGTTGTCCTACTGCCTTCCAACATTTGGCACCCGAGATCACCAAACTAGAAAAGAAAGATAAAAGGTTACCATATTTGTATTTTCCACAAACGTTAGGTTTTCCCCAAAATAATGGTTCCTGTGACAACTGAGAAGTTCGATCTTTTAGGAGTGACTTGGTTTTCTTAAATACTCTTCCTAAAAGCTCTTGTTGGAGACAAGATCATACCAAGTTTTGACCCAGTATACCTTTAGAGTTAGTCCATTTTATCGTTTCTGCTTTCGTCTCTCGTTTCCAAGCTTCTAACTTTGCAGTGCATTTGCCCACGGCACAGAACAGGGAAAGGCAACAGTTGGGGTCCTAGTGAACTTTTTACTTTATCTCCTGCAAGAAGAGCCAAGGACTCCAACTCCCGTGTGGGAGGCAGGGATCGGGGCGGTGAGAAATCGAAAGGTCCGGAGACAACCAGGCCAACTCCCGAAACGCGAGCCCCCAGGATCCTCGCCCGCGACCTCCCCGCGACTTCCTCCGCTCCGGCCTCCTCCAAACCCCCACTTCCGCTACCCAGGACCCCGAGCGCCCCCCGCGGGCCCCCCGCCGCGTCCTCCGAAGCCCGAGGTTTTCCCCCATGACCCGCAGCCCCGTCCGCCCCCCGCCCCCCAGGCCTCACCCTGGGCCTGCCCCGCTCCCCCTCCGGGGCTCCGCTGCCCGTGCCCCGTTCTAATTCCCCGGGAAGTGGCCCCGGAGGGTCTCGGGGCCCGGGGCGCCAGGGCCGCCACCCACCTGCCCGGGCCGGCCTCACGCCTCTCCGTCCCGAAGCTGGGTCAGGACTCCAGCCGCTCCAGCTCGGGCCGCCGCCGCCACCCCCTTCAAATGCTAACCATCGCCGTGTTGGCCGACGCCGCCGGCGCTGCCCTGGTCTCCTGCGCGGCGTCCAGCTCCTCCATGACCCGCAGCAGAGCAATTCCAGCCGCCTCGCCGCCGCCAAAGCCAACTGTGCTAAGCCTCCTCCTTCCACTCCTCAAGATGCCGCTTCAGCAGCAGCCATGGCGGATGTTGTAATATGCTCCAGGCGGGGGAAGCCTAAAGTGCTGGCTCACAGCGCTGACGCGACAGCCGCGCCATTGGGTTAAGAGAGGGCGGCGGTGGCCGCGAGCAAACGCCCTAGGGCGGGCCTAGCGCGGAGCGCGGTGCGCGGGGGGAAGGAAGGCGGAGCGAGGGAGGCGGGGCTGGAGCGCTCCCGGGGGGCGGGGGGGGGGAAGGAGACCACGTGCTCAGCCCGGGCTGGTCTCGCGGGTTTTCCCGGCCAGGGGCGCGAGGAGAGAAGGGCGGGCCAGGATCCCGGAAGGGCCGACTTGGGGCGAGGAAACGCCCGGTGTTTCCTCTGGGCCTTCGGCTTCGTCGGGTTTCGTTGGTGGACGTGGTGGCTGACTCTTCCTTCCTTCCCTCCTCCACCCTTCCTGCAGCGAGATTACTGTATAGCTCTTCCGCCGCACAAAATGTCCTAGAAGGACTGGGCTGTTCTTTTTTGTCTGTCAGGTACCTAGCACTTCATGATTGATTAGGGAACTCCCGGTGTGGAAACTCATATTGATGCAGATCAGCCAACCTTCTGTGACTTAGAGGCATAAAACTGGAGCTAGAGCAGGCTTCGGGCTCTGTTGTCCAGCCACCTCATTTTACAGATGAAGAAATTGAGGCTCAGGAAGATTAAAAGACAATAAAAGGCCTCCATTTTAAGTGTCATTCATATATACCTTGTGGATGAGAGCTATATACTTTTACACACTTTTTTGGGGGCGGGGGGTTAGGCAATGGGGTTAAGTGACTTGCCCAGGGTCACACAGCTAGTAAGTGTTATGTGTCTGAGGCTGGATTTGAATTCAGGTCCTCCTGAATCCAGGGCCAGTGCTCTATCCACTGTGCCACCTAGCTGCCCCTACACACTTTTTTAGATGAATAAATTATTGAATTACTGAGGGAAAAAAAAAAGATTAAAAGATTTGCCTGAGCTTACACCAGCAGTAAATTTCAGAGTGCAATTTGAATCCAGGTCCTTCAATTCCAGTCAGCGCCCTGGAATATATACCATACAATGCCTCCCATGAAGTATATCCCACAAATTATTCCCTCAACCTATTGCTATAATAATGCTACCAACCCTACCAGAAATAAAAGTTACTTCATCAATAAAGTTAGAGAGGTAGGATGGTATAATAGATTGGTTTCAAACTCTACTACTTGGTTTTTGAAGCTACTAGAATATCAGTATGACCTGGTTGCTAGTTAACTTTCCTTCCCTATCTTAATCCCCTGCTAAACCAGTTCAATGCCACCCTGTCCTCTCAAGTCACTTGTCCTCCTAGTGAAGGCCCTGTGTGGCCAAGCCTCAGCTTTGCATTTCTCCCACTGTCCGCTGCTTTGATTCCTAATTACCCTCACTGCCCTCTCCTGGTTCTGCTAACTCCAGGAGCAAATACAAAATGCTGTTTGGCATTCAAAGCCCTTCCTAACCAAGCCATCTTTGTAGTCTTCTTAAACCTCCTCCATGTACTTACCCCTCTTCCATACAGTGACACTGACCTCTTTGCTGTTCATTATACAGAACACTGCATCTCCCAACTCCAGGCATTTTCACTGGTTGTTCCCCCCAACCCCCAATCCTATGCCTAGAACTCTCTCTCTCCTCATCCCTGTCTCCTGGCTTCCTTCAAATCTCAGCTAAAATTCTGCCTTCTGTAAGAAGCCTTTACCAGCCCTTCTTAATATTAGTTCCTTCCCTCTAAAAAAGCAATATTTAGCAACTGATTTTACTTACTGTAATTACTGATTGTAAATATGAGTTGAGAGAGAGTGAGAAATCAAGGATAATGACAATTACAAATAGTGGTGCCTACAAGTTCGGAAGAGGGGTGGGTTTTGAGGAAAAGTCAAATTCTGTTTTTGCCTTGTTGAGTTTAAGGTATCTCTGTAGCATCTAGCTAAAAATAATGTCTGATAAACAATTGATGATACAGGTTTGAAGAGATTGGGGCAGGGATGGGAGTCACCAAAGTTTCACTGACCCTGTCATATCTTCCTTCTTTCACAAAAACTGATTGGCCCCAACTACCCGGATGAAGTATAAAGATCTAACTAAGCACAGTCACCACCATTCCGAATTAGTGGGTACCCAAGACCACATGAATCACTGTACTCTGATGACTAACTGACCAGACAGGTTTCCAAATGGAGATGAGGAGGGCCATGACCAAAGAAGCTAAGTGCCACTGTGTCCTTGTTGCATATCCTTGCTGTGCTAGGGCAAAGCAAACTTCCTCCTTTGTTAAATGTTCAGTACCCTCCTAGTGCCTCATTTCATCCCATCTTTGAACCTGAACTAAGAGGGCTGTGGTTTTTGAGCCATGCCTATATCAAGAGCTGCTGAAGTCACTGAGAGAGAATAAAGGAGCCTAGGACACAGTAAACAAATATATACCAAGCAAGCTATCTATTAAAGAAATGGGAAATAAAAAAAAATGAAGGCACTAGAAAATGTAAAAGATGAGATTTTGGTTGATACTTAAAGCAAGACAAGATTGTCAGTATACAGGTGGAGTTGAAGAAGAAGAACATTACTGACATAGGGGACAGTCAGAAAAAATACCTGAAGCCAACAGATGAAGTATCTTAACATCCGGGAGGCCAATGTCACTGGATTGAAGAGTAGATGTTAGGTAGTAGGGTATAAGAAGACTGGAAAAGTTTGAGGGAGCTAGGTTATTAAGGGCTTTCAATACTAAAAGAGCACTTTGTATTTACCCCAGGAGGTAGTGGGGAGCTACTGTAGTTTGTTGAGTAGGGAGGTGATATGATCAGACCTGTGTTTTAGGAAAATCACTTTACTGGCTGAATAGAAAATGGATTGGAGTGAAGAGAGGAATTAAAAGAAATTAGTTTCATGAAAGTTTAAAGAGGAGAGGTTATCCAGGAGGACAGGATGGTCAGCATGTCAGATGTTGCAGAGGAGTCAAGAATGTGAGAGCATTGGTTGCTTTGAAGGGAAGTTGGAAGCCAGGTTGTGAAGGGTTAAGAAGTGAATAGAAAGAGGAAGTAGAAGCAGTGAATGTATACATCTTTTTCTAGGAGTTTGGATAAGGAAAGGAAAGATTTAGCATGATATTTGAGGGATTATAGTATCTAATGCAGTATTTTTTTTTTTAAGAATGGAGGACATGTGTATTTTTGTAGATAGCTAGGAAGGAACAAGTAGATAGGGAGAGACTGAAGATTAGAAAAATTAAAGATGATTATAGGGAGAGAAGGAGGGGATAGGATCAAAAGTACATGTAGAGGGATTGGCCTTGGCAAGCAGAAGGGCTATTTTATCAGAGCTTTAAGCAATGTACACGAGTTATTGTTGTTGTTGTTATTATTATTATTATTATTATTATTTTAGTGAATCCTTGACAATGCTCCCATGATACTTATTTGCCCATCTAATTATTCACCAAACATCTGTCCTATTTGGTCAGTAATTAATACCAAGCTTACCATTTTATGGTTTTCATACTATTTCTTATATGGAGAACAGCCAAACAAAAAATATCCCTGGAAAAAAATAACTTTTTCTTATTATATTATCAATGAAAAAGTATTTCTCACTTGTACTGCCTAAACAATATTTCTAAACAAATACATGTTGTTATGATCAAAATCAAAGTAAACTGAGGCACAAAGTTCTGAGCATGATCAGTTTGTTGACAAAGCATGAATTTGCCAATAAACAGAATCTCAGCTTCCTCAGCAAAGCTAAGGCCCCCAAATAGGCTTGCATTCCTTTTTTACAGACAAAAGGCGGAATATCCAAAAACCAAAAAGAAGGAAGCCTCATAGATGGGGAAAACAG